CCTCAGGAACTCAGCCTTCCAGCGAGCCCACTGGGGGTCTTTGCTTCTAGTTGGGACCGAGACTGACTCTCCAAGCCAAGGCCAGTGGTGGGGAGACAGGACTCCTGTCTGTCAACTGTGTGTATGCAACGTGAACAATGGCACATGTTCTGATTTGTTGTAATGGCCTCATCTCTCTCCTGCTGTTTCTCTGCCTTCAGTGTGCTCCTGCAGTTGGGGCAGGGGAGTTGCCATCGGCCTTGGCGGGCGGTGCAAGCCGGGCCCCACCCAGCACTGATGGCGAGAGTTGACCCTGCACTTGGGTGCTGGGTAAGCAGGCACTGCTGCCCCTCCTTCTCCCATTCTCACCTGCCTGGAACAAGGATTCTACACAAAGTGCACGGAAAGTGTGCATCACCGAAAACTTTTCATGGACTTCAGTCTTTTTTTCTTTTGTATGTGTTTGTCTTTTAATTTCCTTTGCAGGGCTGGCACTGTGGCACAGTAGGTTAATCCTTTGCCTGTGGCTCCGGCATCCGATATGGGTGCTCGTTCTAGTCCTGGCTGCTGCTCTTCTGATCCAGCTCTTTGCCAGGCCATGGCCTGGGAAAGCAATGGAGGATGGCCCAAGTGCTTGGGCCGCTGCACCTGTGTGGGAGACCCAGAAGAAGCACCTGGCTCCTGGCTTCAGATGAGCGTAGCTCAGCCATTTGGGAGCAAACCAACAGACGGAAGACCTTTCCTCTCTGTCTCCCTCTCACTGTCTGTAACTCTACCTCTCAAATAAATAAAATCTTTTTAAAAAATTCCTTTTGCTGTGAATTTTTTGAAGTACCTTGGTACACATCAGGCTGTGGGGTACAAGAGGGAATGAGAGGGACCCCACTCCCATGCAGCCAGTCTTCTCATTAGGGACACACTGAACCTCGCGATCTACCCCTACAGGAGGTTCTACGTGATAGTGAAAAAACAGAGCCAGCTACTGTTGCAGAGTAGGGTTATGGTACCTGGCCCTGGTCGAGATCTGAAGCCACGGGGATGCCCTAGGTTATGTAGCTTAGGCCTGGAGGGTCAGAGAAAGCCGCAGCTCTACCATGTGCCATGTCCTTGTGGTCCTATCCAACAGACCCCTTAGCAGTCCCCAAACCGTCACAAAAAGCCCGTTACATGTAAACCCCTAGGGTAGCAGAGCTTTAGAAGGTAAAGGAAGGGCTGGACATGTGGCCCCGTGGATTAAGCCACCCCAGACTGCCTAGAGTGAGTCCTGCCTCTGCTGCTGATCCGGCTTCCTGCTACTGTGACCCCGGCAGGCAGCAGGTGATCCTTCAGTGCTGGGGCCCCTGCCACCCACATGTGACCCAGGCTGCATTCCAGGCTCCTGGCTTCAGCCTGGCCCGGCCCCATCTTGGGAGTGAACCAGCAGGTGGAAGATTTCTCTCTCTCTCTCTCTGTCTCTCTACTTTTCAAATAAGCAAACAAAGCTTTTTTAAAGAGAGAAAATAAAGGAGAATGTGAACTATGTGCTCACAGGCGGGTGATGAGAGACTGAGGATTCAGAAGTCAGGAATCCGGGGTTGAGGTGACAAGGACAACTGACGGCCCCAAGGTCCCTCCGGAATGCAAAAGGGGCAGGAAGTCTCCTGAGGTGCCTGAGGCCAGGGCCAAGCCGTTGACCTGGCCACTAGCACAGGGGGCGTCCACAAGACTGCTGCTCCTGAGACCAGCGGGAGTTAACCTCACTACACACACAGCCACTGGTTTAATAAAAACCGGAAACCTCTACGAGGCAGAACGTGCTGGCGCAGCGGTTCCGCCCGGTTGCTACAATCCATTCACACACTAAAAAGCAGCCACACGCGGCTGTGCCGCAACCTGCTGCTTCACCTTGGCGTCTGGTGCCCGGCTGTCAGGGTAGCACAGCGCGTGGAGTTGGAGCCCAGAGACACGCAGAGTCCCCGGACAAGAACGGTGCTTCCCGGGGGGCAGGGGGAGGGGCGGATAGGGAAGTGGCTGGGAATGGCTGAGCTGGTGCAGGGGTTGGGGAGGGAGGGGTTGGGGCTGCAGGGAGTGGGGAGTGAGGGAGCGAGCGTGCACGAGCATGAGGGGAACGTTCAGGCCGAGGATGAAGCCAGCCCCCCCCCCCACAGTAAGATCCCGAGTTGGCCCAGTGACCTCAGGCCTCCTACGGTGCACGGTGCCCACCTTGGCTCTGGTTCCAGCAGCAGCGCCTGTCATAGGCGGGCTAGGGGCTGGCACAAGGTCCATTCCCAGAAGGGCCTCCTGTTATTGAGTGACAGGCAGCAGGCAGGCATCAGAGGGCTCCTGGCAGGTGACTGGCCCTGTGCGGCCCCAGCTCTTCCTTCCTTGGAACCCACGGACTGCGCAGGCTTGGGAGGGAAGGCCAGGCTGTGTCTGGATGTTGTTGCTACCTTGGCCACCCAGACCCACAGGAGCCCCAAGAGGCCACACTCCTTATGAGCGCTCCCTAGGCTCCATACTCTCAGTGGGTGCTGGGACGAATGGAAATTTCCCGCCCCAGCACTGCCCTGGTGAGGCCCGGCAAGCTTCCGGCTCCCCTCAGCCCCCAGTTTCCATGCACCGGGTACAAGGGGCTGGCCCCTGGCTGACAAATGCTGGACAGCCACTTCTCCAGCAGAGAGAAGTCCTGGGCTGTGGCGTTTGTGGATCCCATGCAGTAAATATGCCACCAGCTCCCAGGTCATGGTGTAGACCACAGAGCCGAGAAGGTGGCCTCACCGTGCCGGTGTGGACAGCGGTGACCCCCAGAGCACGGCGATGGTACCACGCGGGAAGAGGACAGTGCAGGCTGTGTCTGGTGCACTGAGCACTCTCTCGTTGAAGTAACTCACCGAAGTTCATATAATTTTATTTACTTTTTTTTTTAGAAAAAGACTCACTCATTTATTTGAAAGCAGAGTTACAGAGAAAACAGGCAGAGAGAGAGAGAGAGAGATCTTCCATTCCGTTGGTTCACTCCCCAAATGACATCAATAGTCAGCTGAAAGTCTAGTACCTGCTAATACTAACTGATAGAATAAATAAAGGGGAGAGTGATCCAACATGGGAAGTGAGATACTCAGCAGACTCATAGAATGGCAGATGTCCTAAATAGCACTCTGGCCTCAGAATCAGCCCTAAAGGCATTCGGATCTGGCTGAAAAGCCCATGAGAGTATTTCAGGCATGGAAAGCCAAGACACTCTGGAAAAAGATCTCTGTGAGTGAGATCTCAGTGGAAAGAACAGGTCTTCAAAGAAGGAGGTACCTTTCTCTGAAGGGAGGAGAGAACCTCCACTTTGACTATGACCTTGTCTAAACGAGATAAGAATCGGAGAACTCAGAGGGCTTCCATAGCCTTGGAAACTCATGACTGGAGCATAGGGAGATTACTGATGCCATAGACAGGAGTGTCAATTGGTAAAGTCAACAACAGGAGTCACTGTG